GACCCCTAAATATATTTGATGTAAAAGAAAGGTCGTTGTGCATATACATTGAATTGGTTTGCCACTATATCAGTCACTATAGCAAAACAAACAAAATATCCATGTAAGATAATATCTGCTCTGGTTTGATTAGGGTTCTTTGCATCAAGTAACATATGAATGAACAATTTTCTTTCTTCTGAATAGCTTTCAAGATCCATTTTGTCTTATGTTAAATCTCATAAAGCATTTGAATGCATTAGCTAGTTTCTTTTTGAAAAAATGATAACCAAGTTTCTTCTTGAAATCCTGACCTGATATATATCTTATACAGTAATTGCATGCAAGAATGCTGCCTAACTACATTGCCAAGTTAGCTATGTGGAACTCAAAAATAAAAAATCCATATAACAACTAAGAAGTTGTTTCATTTACCCTGGGAGATTGAGTTGCTTCATTGACAATATACATCTTTTAAGAATGTGCTTTCGAAGAATTTTTAAAGGTTGCATAGTGAAGTAATGGATTTATCGAGATGTCCATCATATGTATTACCAGCTTTTTTCTTGAATCCAGGAAAAAGATCAGTGGGAGAGTTCGTGGACCCGAAACAAGAAAACCAGCAAGAAAACATCATGGAATGAATAAATTGGCACCAGTAGAGGTCTCTCTCTCTCTCTCTCTCTCTCTCTCTCTCTCTCTCTCTCTCTTCCTATTTCCCAGTGTGGACATATATTCAAATAAAATTAAATGTCGACGAAGCTAATCACACTGATCTTTTTTCTGCTTGCAGGATGTCGCAGTTCATACTCATAGTGCTAAAAGAAGTAATGGAGATACGGTACATATTTTGAAGGAGGGTGATTTGGGGTTAGCTGTGCGAGCACGAAAGCTGTCAGTTAATGAACCAGATGAGGCTTCCCATGCAAAGAATGCATCCCAAGGAGATATTCCCTTCTCTGGCCCATTACAGGTTTCTATATCAAGTGGCTTTGCATGGGCGAGAAGACGAAGAGAGGATGCATCCCTAAGATCCCACAGTAGGTCCACTTCAAGAGGTCACATATATAATGCATTTGAACCTTCTGGTGCCTTGCATGTGCAAAATAATGTGGGCTCAAAAAGGCATGACAATGACGAAGCTATATGTGGGGCTCGCACTGATTCTAGAGGCCATGAATCATATGAGATCACTAAGCATGCCATGCTGAAACAATGGAGCCAATTGGAACGTCCAGATTCTTTTGATGCTTCTGATGAGTATCATTCACAGGAACTATCATTCGCACTCTATCAAAGAGAGGGAATGGCAGCCAAGAGAGATAATTTGGTACGTTTGTAAATATCAGTCAGAAATAATGCCAAATTTTGCTTTTAATATCTAATAAAAATTTCAAGTTAATGAATGAAATGAATATCCATCATAATCTTTCTGACATATGTTTGGAGAATCATCAATGCACATAAACCAAGAAACTTTAACATGTAACAGAAATTTAAAATCATTTAAAACATCTATCAAAATTACAAATTGCTTAAGCATTTTAAAATTATGCCGCCTTCATGGATCTGAATTATTTAAATGACTGAGATTCCATCTGCTAAGGTTTGCAGATGTTCCTCTTAGTTTACCTTTTAGTGAAAACCAACTCCATGATTGTCAGTTTTGGGTTTGCCAGTTTTGGGTTCTTCCTTATTAGTTTGTATCATCAATTTTTTGTATTTCATACTCTTTGGAACAAGTATTGTTTTGAATGTCAAGATCTTAATATGAAGACCAAATGCATTATAGATCCCAAGTTACAGGGTGCAATGGAGGATGTAAACTTGATGGTTATAAAGCAGGGTAGTTGTAGTAATTTTGGTAGCAGTTCTAGTAATGTAATTAATACAGAATAACCAGTGGCATGCAAATTTTCAGAAAAATCCCACATGCATGAATCTTTTGGAAGCATAAGTTTTTTTTCTTTTAAAACAATAGTACATCTTAAAAACTAAGACAACTTGGTAACACTAGTCTTAAAATGCATAATGAAGAATGCCTTCCTTTGTTTATCTTAAATTAATGAAGTGGTAGGAAAAAGAATATGGTGCATTGTCAATCAGGACTGTTTGAGCTTCTAAAACTCTTGATTTATCATCATTACATGCAAAATTAATTTCAACTTTGATTCATTAGCATATTTCTCTAGCCATGCTAATAGTGATGTTCTTTGACAGGGTTGTCAAAACCAAGGGGACAAGGTTGAATTCTCAGGACCTCTGTTGTCTCAGTCACACAGAGTTGATGAGCTCTTGGAAAGACATGAGCGACAGATCCGCCAACTAGTTAGAAAATCGTGGTTCCAAAGAGGTTAGACACTTCATTGCTTTTCTCTTCCATTATTAAGCTCTCCTTTGTAGCCACAAGCATATAATACTTTGATGGCGTGGTTTTTTTGATGGAGTTGATGACTCAAGTTTGCATTCTGTCCAACTCTATCTCAGAAAAGAACTCTCCTTTGTAGTCCTTATTTCTGTAGTATCAGTTACCAAGATCTTCGTTTACTCCTTATTTCCCATATAACACGTTGATCTCCACATTCACATTTATGTGGTTCATTTTGTTGAGTTATGAGTTCCTTGGTACTATAGGCAATTAATTTGAAGAGGAAGTGGGTAAATGTGTGAAGGGTGATGGTACAAAATTTGTGTCTGAACTGTCATCGTTGGTGCTATTAATAACAAGTTAACAACCAACGTGATTGATGGAGTATGATCGTTTGAATTGCAGGTAAGAAACTAGGGAAGTAACTTCCACATCTCAGCAGCTCCTGCAGTTAAGGAGAATTCTGACAATAGACCAGACAAGAGTATTAAGAATCCAAACCGTGGAGGCTATCCTCCGATGGGGTTGCCTTACCTAACATTCATGAAAATGAAGGATCCTGCACAAGCTAGATATAATCAGAGCAAACAAACTAAGAAATAAGTTGGATCAACTAAAGAGACTCAGAGAAAAGGAAGAGAAGATGCAGGATTTTGGTGCCCTCTCTCAGTCTTTGAAGCAACAATGAGCTAGTAGTTCAGTTTTGTTTTGTTCTTTTCCAAGTAGATCTAAATTTTCCTGCCATGTTCTAGTTATCATTTTTTTTCCCACATCTGATACGTTATCTACGAGTAATGTATAGGCCAATGGTAATTAGTCCCGAGAATAATTGTGCCTATGTAAATGGTTTACAAGGCTTAATGGTATCAATCTCATCTATTTTTTTTTATTCTTGTTTCCGATTCAATGTTACTTTCTTAATATTCTTTGCAATTTGATTGTTTCTTGGAAATTTTTCATGCACGAATGGCCGTTGAATACATCTTATATTATCCGAATGTGTACTGCAATTTAAATTGTTAGGTTCTAAAAGACGCATGTCTCAAAATTTGTTCAGATAAATTTAAAGAAGAATCAGATGATGTGCAAGTTAACATTTTCCTTTTACCCGTAGTAAAGGAGATTTAGAGCGGCACAAGCTTTCATTCCAGCTTCCATTCTTTTTGTTTTGCATGCATTTATTGTGATCCGGATTTGCTTCCATGTGCATTTTGGAGAGACCCAGATGGGTGTGTACGAGTGGGTTAGCTTTCTGGACCTATCAAAATAACAAACATTTTATCCTTGCATGTACGAATGTATGTGTGAATCTTGGAAAGTAATAATTGTAAATTAGATGTTAGATTGATTTCCTAAATAAATTGTAAAAAAAAAAAAAACCCTAATATAAAGAAATAATGTAAACCCCCGGTCAGAAAAGGTAAAGGGATGAACGTAGCCTAATCTAACATGTAAATAATTGGGTAAGTTATTGGCTTAAAAATTAAAATCTAATACAGCTTTTTAATAAAATAAATTCAAAACCAGATATATATATATACATACATACCTCTGATTGTGTAAATTACAAAGTTTTTCATACGAGGTGGTAAAGAAGGTTGAGGAATATCTAGATGGATGGATTAGTTTGCCTGGGGGTGGTGGTAAGTTGGAAAGACAAAGACCTCGGCTAGAATTAACCAAACGAACTCAATTTCAATAAAAATGGGCCTATGAAGTGTTACTACTCAAATCCTCTTCAACACAAAATTGAGGTTGTGTGTAAGATAACAATTTTCCCATACTTCAAAAAAAAAAAAAAAAAATAGACATTTTGGTAGAAGAAAAATTGTTGAGGAGGAAAATGAGAAAAGGGTGTTCTTTAATTTGATCCTTTGAATATTTTTTTTATTAAAAAAAAAAAAAAAACATTTTTTGATAAAAAAATAATAAAAATTGTTGATGAGGAAAATGAGAAAAGGGTTTTCCCAATATAGGAGGAAAAATGAGAAAAAGGTTTTCTTTTTTTTTTTTTTTTTTTTTTTTGTGTTTTGGTATATGTATGTGTGTGTGTGTGTGTGTGTATACATATACATATATATATATATATAGAGAGAGAGAGAGAAGGGTACTTTTGGTAATTAGATAATTTAGAGTAAAGAAGGGTTCAATTATGGAAATGATAAAGTTGGGAAGGGGACCAATTGGACCCCACTTTGTGTCAGTGCCCCTTTGAAATCTCGATTCAACTTTTAAGGGCTCTTTCCCCATTTGGTTTCGTCCCTCTGTCCCTCAAGCACACCACTACTGAGACACACACCATCACTCCTCATGTGTCTCACTCCCCTCTGATTTTTCACTTTTTCTTTCCTCATTTCAATTTTTAATAATTTTATTTTACCATCAACATCTCTAATTATTTTACCCCTTAATTTATTATCTATAATCTCACAGTAAATAAAATTATTGTAACTATATTATAAGTGCTCCACCTATTATTTTACTTCTTAACATTAATCTATTCAATTATAATTGCACTAATCTTTTTTTTTTTAAAAAAAAAAAAATTACATTTTACCATATGATTTACTGACGACCCGAGATTTTGACAGATTTCATACCAACAGCATAATGTAACCCTTATTCTCTAAGATCCTATTGTATTCATTATAATTATAGTTTAATTATTTTAATTCTTTCATGGGTAATTATAATACTTCTCCTAAACACAGTGATATGATACATCTCGCGCAAAATTATTACCCTCCATTAACTGGTTTTAAAAAAAAAATTCTCATCTGACCGTCCATTACGTTGACCACATCGTACAAATGGAGAACAAGTTAGACTCGCATTTCTCAGTGGTCTGCACATCCAAGGAACCAGATTGCTTGACCTCTCTCTTTTTTTTCTTCTTTAATAATTAAAGACACGTAAATTCTGATTAAAATAATTATTTATTAGAATTAATAACGCTACTTACTGTAATTAATTAATTACCGAACTAATTTATGTGGCTTGTCACGGACAAACTAACTCCAGTTTTGTCGTCAATGATAGAGGACACGTGATGATTATTTTACCCTCTTTTTTTTTTTTTTTTAATTTTTTGAGAAAGTAAAAAAAGTTAAATAACAACATTATGGTAATTTTTCATTAAATTTAAACCAAAAGTATTTCAGTAAACAGTAATTATTAATATCATGATTTGCTGTTGCTTATCATATGTATGGATAGATTCATCATAGTCAAATTTCTTTTTTTTTTTAAAAAAAATATATATATATATAAAGTTAATTCTCAATCAAAAAAATCCATCATATAAAATTAATTAACCACCACGTAAAATGTAATGATTATTATTGTTTTAATGTATATTATAGACGCAATTAACATGTAGTAATTTTTTTTACGAGCATGCAATGGAAAATAATTTTTAATTAATTAAACCACACATTATCCGAAACTTATTTGAAATTATAAAATATCTACATCTGTTAATGGATTTGAAATATTTTTTTATTTTAATTTGTAATTAATTAAGATGCTTAAAAGAACAAAATTGAATAAAGTTAAAAGTTAATGGTTCAAGTACCATGTGTGTGAAATTTTTCCACGTCTCACGTCTGCCACATTTTGAGGCTGCATGGGGACTATTTACGAGTTCTCGTTTTATCGCCGTCCATCACTGCTTGATTCAACGGTGATGATTACATGGGGCCCAGTTTGTCCCCCAGAAGATTTGAAACCAATAAGCGGCCGCCTTTCCAGATCGTTACGGGACCGACACCTTTAGAGAAATTTTACGCTACTGCTCGGCTCAGATTTAGCTTTCCGTTAATCGAAAGTCAACTTCAAGATCTGACTGGTTGGTTGATCCA